AGCACTATTTTTAAAAAAATAATAACTAAAATGATAAGGGACTTTGGTTTTTTACCCAACAAGTTCCTTCCTATTTTCTATATATTTTCACATATATATATATATATATATATATATATATATATATATATATATTGTTATGGTCCAGTTCCTTGTACCACGGTGATGGTCCTGTAGAACCAATAAAGAAGAACTCGAAGGCGGATATGAAATAACACAGATATATTACAAACAGGAATATATACAGAGAAGTAGAAAGGGTTAGTACGAACAATCAGGTTTAGTATAATTGTGAAGGCGACTCTGTTTCGGACTGCCTCTAACTCGACTGACTGACTCGCTCTGGCTGACTGAGAGACTCCTGACGGACTTCACTCCAGACTTTAGACTGAACTCTCTGCTTCCTCTTGAGGTGCAGTATTTATTATGTATGGAATAGTCCACTAAGTTATTATAGGTAAGGTCCCATAACATATATATATATATATATATATATATATAACAAAGTATATAATTGGTATACACGGAATGAATTCCAATATCCAACAATTACTATTCTTAAAAGAGTGCTCAATACAAAGTAGAGCATATATAATTATTTTATAAAAAAATTTATAACATAAGTATGTTATAAAATCACTACAAAAATAGCCATTTTGTTTCAACACACTCTGTGTCTTATCAAGTGATGGTGTTGAAAAGAAAATAAATGGTTTTAAAGTTTCAGATTAATTAACGATCCTACACTAGGGGAGCATTGTTACAAAAGCTAGAATAACCAATCAAAAACCGAAGTACAGAAAGATTCAAAAGCTTGACAACAAAATCCTGCTATTATAGCTATTAAGATCTTTAAATACGTGTAATATTAAAAATAATTTTTACTAACTAATAATTATAAATTTATATGATAAAATTTAATATTAAAATTAAAAACTGGCAATTTTAAAATCCAAATTTAATCACTATTAAGTTTAAAAACTACAAAATTATTGAGAAAGAAAAAAATATATATGTTTATTCAATTCATTTCTTCATTAAAATTACGTCTGACAAGAAAAAGCTAAAGTCATCTGATAATACATGTATATATTTTTTTCTTTTCCGTTTTTAAAAGTTTGTGAATATGGTCTTAAACTCAGCGTGACACAACAAAACAATTTCAGATTATTACATACGCATCCAGACATAATAGAAGAAAACATTTTTTACACACACACATACAAATATACACACACATAAAAAAAAAAAAAAAAAAAAAAGAAGAGGTGGGGGGAATAATGAACAACTCCACAGCCCTTTACGAAAAAAAGGAGACGTGAAACTAACATACACACACACAGTTAAATGTGAATACACAAATACATAGACACCGATATATACAATAAATATACATCCACAATGGCATAGACATTGAAAAACAACCAGTAAATATTTCAAACTTAAATAAATGCTAACCACTTATTGAATTAAACATAGCAAATATAAAAATAAAAATTTAAAATAATATTATTTAATATATTAAAACGAAAACTCTATAACAATAAATCAGTGGAAAAAATATATATATATATTATTAATCATATAAGTTGATAAAGTTTCATTATATATTTGTGCAAAAGAAAAACAGGATAAAAAAATCCACAAAATATATACATATATATATATATATATATATACACGGTAGCAAAAACAAAATTTTTTTTTTTTTTTTGTGTTATATTTGTATGTATTGTGTGTGTGTGTGTGTGTGTGTGTATGTATCTAATTATGTCTGGATGCGTATGTATTAAATCTGATTGTGTTTTTGTTGTTCACGCGTGAGTTTAAACCATATTAAACTTTAAAATAAAAACGGAAAAGAAAAAATATATACATGTATTATCAGATGACCGGAAATTGTAGCTTTTTGTCTTGTCAGACGTAATTTTAATGAAGAAATGAATTGAATAAATATATATTTTTTTTTTTCTCAATAATTAATAGTTTTTAAACTTAATAGTGATTAAATTTGATTTTTCGCCAGTTTTTAATTTTAATATTAAATTTTTCAATAAATTTATAAATTAGTTAGGAAAAACATTTTTTAATATTACGTATTTAAAGATCTTAATAGCTATAATAGCAGGATTTTTTTGTCAGCTTTTTGAATCTTTCTATATATAGGTTTTGATTGGTTATTCTATTTGTAATATATAGTGTGTAGGATCGTTAATTAATCTGAAACTTTTTAAAACTGTTTATTTTCTTTTCAAAACCATCACTTGATAAGACACAGAGTGTGTGTGTGAAAATGCTATTTTTGTAGTGATTTTATCATACTTATGTTATAAATTTTTTATAAAAATAATTATATATATATATATATATATATATATATATATATATATATATATATATGTTTCAATAATGAGGGTACTGTGATTAGCTTTCTTTTAATAATTTTACTTGTATTGTATTAAGAAATCACTCATACAAACAAATTCAGTTATGAGCCATGTGTGACGCAAAAATGTATCTTTTGAAACATGATAGAGGGTCAAAGAAAAATTAAATAAAAGCTTGATTGTATACCCTGTATATGTCTTTAATAAACTTGTATATATATATATTATATAAATATATATATATATATATATATATAGAGATATATATATAGAGATATATATAGAGATATATATAGAGAGAGAGAGAGAAAGAGCAAGATAGAGAGAGACAAAGAGGAAAAGCCAGGTTAAAAAATACTGAAAATTTCAGCTTTCTGAGAGCCACTAAAAAATAATTTTTGCTTTTTCTGTTCGGTTAGTATCAGCATTTTTTAAATATCATCTCTTTGTTGACACCAATATAGCATGAAAAGACTACTTCATAATGGCGTATAAAAGCTGAGAATATTCAAACAATAGACAATCTGTATCAATATATAAGTAATGAAAATGGTACAAAACATAGAAAAAAATAAATAAATTTAAAACTTCTCTCTCTCTCTCTCTCTTTCCCTCTCTCTCTCTATAAATATGTGTCTTGGTTATAAAACTATAGACTATTTGGTTTATAGGGTATTTTAGAATCAAAATGATATATATATATATATATATATATATATATATATATATATATATATATATATATATATATAAATCATTGGCGGAATGACGTAATAATGTTTTTAGACGTATTTTTTAACGTCAAAAACGACATCATTTGATATTTTGCACCAACCTTATTTATAGGATGATGTATATATATATTTATAAAGACATTTTTATGTTTAACGTTGTTATTTTATAGATACAAGTATTGAAAATGCTCTGTTTATGATAAACAGTTTAAATAAGAATGAATGTGAAACATAGAAAATATCGTTCTTTGACAGTATTCGAATAATACGGAACCGTCATATACGCTTTGATAATTCTCGGCCACAAAAACCTTTCTTTAGACAAGGTTAATTTTGTTAATCTTCCATGAATCCGTACATTCCTGTGCTCTTTGTATCGAATGTAAACAAATGACGTCATATGTTAAGAAATGGACAAGGTCCGACAATTTATTTATTTAAAGACATTTTTATTTATGTTTTAACGTTGTTATTTTATAGATACAAGTATTTGCAAATGCTCTGTTTATGATAAACAGTATTAAATAACATTTACCGGCCTGAATGTGAGAAATTTTCATAGAAAATATTCGTTTTTGACAAAATTGCATCCTATACAGAACCATCATATACGCTGACGTGCTTAACCGTCTCGGCCACAAAAAACCTTTCGGTAGACAAGGTATACTGCTTATTTCAATCTTTTGTACATTCATAACTGCTCTGGCGTATAAATGTAAACAAATGACGTCATATGTTGAAATGACAAGGTCCGACAATTTATTTATTAAAGACATTTTTATGTTTATCTATAAAATTTGCATTCCATTTTCATGCATGCTTTGATGTTGAAAAAAAAAAACTGAAGCCCAAAATAAAAACCCAAAATAAAAAACAGATACATTAAAAAAATAAATAAATAATTCAACGTACTTCAGCTTTTATTATTTTTATAGATTATTTTATTATTTTATTATAGAGTTCTGGGGGTTCAATAAAAAGCAAAATCGCTAAGAAGGTTTTCATTTTGTCAAAAAAGTGATGTGTTTCCTTGTGTTTAGAATTCAAAATGGCATTCGAAAACAGAAGTTTAGCCTTGTTCCAAAGCAATAGTAGGCTATTTCCAGCTTAAAATACTGGAAATAACAGTTGACAAGTGTTTATTTATAGCAATTGTCTCAAGGTGACAGAATGCACCTAAAGTAGCAAGAGAAAGAATTTTACGGTGACTATTGTTGCCTGCAATATGGTAAATATTAATAATTTTTTTTTTCTTTTTCACTTATTCTTTCACACTCAGTAAACGTTTGCATCTTAGTGGCCTTGCTTGGAGGCTTATGACCATATCACATTGAAATACTGGCTCCTGTACAGTCACCTAAGTTAAGTAACATTAAACCTGGTCAGTTCCTAGATGGGTGACTGTTTGGATATACCAGGTGCTGTAAGTTTGGATGTATGGTTTGTGTAATGAAGATTGGCTCAGAATTTATAATTAGAGAGCTGAGTTCCAATTTCACTTGTGTTTTTTATTTTCATATAAGCACAAATACCCACAGGAAAAGTATGAATGCAACTCTTCTCTCCCTAGATATGGGTTAATTAGTAAGACTTGTATCACAAAATCATTATTATCTCTGAAAAAAAAAAAGAAAATTGAATTATTACAATCTAAAAATATTTTCTGGCTTTAAATAAACTGAAAGATTGTTAAGACATAAAAAATGATTGAATCAATCAAGCTCTTTAATATTTTTTTCTTTTTCTCTTATTCTTTCAAAGTGAGTAAAACTTTGCATCTTAGTGACTTTATTGCCTTGCCTGGGGTGAAATTATTGCAATAAAAAAAGTCACCCTGCCAACAACGGTGAGATTTGAACACAGGTCTCATATTCAGAAAATGGGCATTATAACCACTCCCTTTCTCTTTGCCTCTCTCTCTCTCTCTCTCTGTGTCTGTCTGTCTGTCTGTCTGTCTATCTATCTATCTATCTATCTATCTATCTATGTGTGCGTGTATGTGTGTATACATATATATATATATAAATATATATATATATATATTTCCTATTTATTCCCTTTAAGATTCTCTTGCTCTTGCTCAAATAGAATTACTTATTCTCCTAATTTCGTACTTAACTCTAACAAGTGGTTTCGTCTACATGTTGAGACCAATTTGTCAATTTTTTCTACAATTTTTCCCCTCTCTCTTTCCTGGCGTGTCTATTCTTTACTCTCGACAAATCCAAGTAAATTTTTGCTGAGAAATCTGCTTCAGGGCTCTCATTTAATTCTGCACTTACAACCAATTCATGCAGACATATGTAGATATCAGCCAAATGCAATTTAATAAGTGCCAGATTGACTAATGACTACGAGGTAAGGCTTTCGAATGTCCACTTTGAATCACTCTTTCTTAGAATTTTTGCACTTGTAGTAGAATTATTACCACGATTGCCAGACTATGAACACAAAAAAAAAGGTACCAACATGAAGATCAAAATTTTACATACAGCCCTAACTTCATTTAGAGAATTTAACACTCTGGGGTTTGGATTGGTTTGTTTAACGGTAGTTCAACTTCTTATGGGTCATTTAATGCTGATATTTTATTTTCTTGAATAATCTTTTTCAAAAAATGTGTTGCTGATAATTTTTATATTTTCATGTTTTGACCCTAGTTTGAGAGGTTCACTATTTACCCATAGCTTGGTCCCTGACCGGTGCTATGACCCCTACTTAGTAAGGGACTTAGTGAATGCAAGGGAAGGAGCAATTTACCTACTAATACCTCGCAGAACAGGGAATCAAAGAAATAGTGAAGGGACATACAATGCTCAGACCTGCAAAAGATACATTATTCAGACTACTTTCTTCATCTTTATCACCATATTTATCACAACGTTTCGACCATTGTGCACTCTGGCCTTCTTCAGGTGGTTGGAATGTCGTTGTGATAAATATGGGGAGCGTACAACGGCTGAAACGTTGTGACAAATATGGAAACAAAGATGAGGACAATAATGTAAATTGTGTACATAATACCTCATCTCATCAATATAGACAGATACCAAAAGATAGGAAGTTGTGGAGAACTATTATCAGATGATTATATTAGTCAGATACATTGTAAATATCAATATTTCTTGCTTTCTAATATTTTCATGCCATTATTTTTTCTCAATGTTACCACACTCCTAGTTGCATTCTATCACTGCCAATCAGATACCGAACTACCGCCCATTAAGATGAACAAATGTCCTCTTGAGGAGGAACCATACCTTGAGAGACCATTCGGTCTCAGACTAATGCCTGATATTAAGTGGAACTCATACATATGATCTGTTACTAAAGATACAAATAAAATGGTCAGCTCCCTGTACCTGACTCCACATGCATACCTCACAAGAGTCAGATCAGCCTAAGAATGGAATAATGTTGCCGTATTTGGGCTTCCCAGTCCAAACTTTCCAGTCTTGATAGACATCAAAATCATCTCCAAGTCCCTGTGGGGTGACAAATTATTTTCCACCTTCCAACTCACAGGTGGTATGTGGTGAGCCTCTGACTTCTCTATCACTACTTCCATAGAAAGTGCTTGGACAAACTACATTCTTTGATTCTGCAAGTTCTAACCTTCACAGGAAGGACATGCCATGCCACTTACATTGTAACAAACCACCCACATTCCCTACATATTCCATCAGACAGGAGTAAGTTCCACTTGAACGGCTTTTTCCTGTGAACCACTGCTCTGTGTAACAGACTCCCAAGAGGATGCTTCCCTGATCACTTTAATCTTAACCTGTTCAAGACTTGAGTTAACCATTATCTTTCCCTCCTATCCATATAAACTGTCCTTTAATGTAACTCGTAACCTAGATTGGCTCCCAGGTCTTGTACAGGGGGATCCTTACTGTAGAAAACAAAAATTCAAATTTGCTTAAAAATATGCCAAAAATTTAGCATTGTTCATAAGATTTCCTTTCCTTTACGCTAAGAGACTTTTTTTCTCAGTGTTACATCTTCTGTCTATATAAATATAAGTTCTGAAATAAAAATTCCTGCATTTACCTTGTAAAGGCTCCTTAAGTAATGGGGAGGAGACACGGCGGAGGAGAGGACAGTGGCTCGGATTGAGGAATTGGAGAGCCGAGTTTCAATTCCAGTCAAATCCATTATGTGCTAATACTCTTGGGAAAGGTATGAATCCTCTTCTTCTCTCCCCAGCTATGGGTAAATAGCAAGACAGACCATGTTCTATAGCCTTAGATAGTAACTGGTCTTTCACAGAAAGAAAAGGCAACCTACTGTGGAAAAAAAAAATGTGCCTCGTCAGTCATGTATCAAAAGATAGAGAATCGTCTAAGCATGTATCCCGCATGACACATAACTGACTGAAGTAACGAAACACATCAAACATTTTCTTTGCCATTTCTTTTATTTACATTGTTTTTGCAGATGCAATTTATTTATATGATATTTTACAGTGGGACCATCAACTTAGATATACTAAAGTCTCTAGCTATGAAATCTCTGGGAGGGCTTTCTCAATTATCAAATCTTTTATAGGTCCCTGAAGGCTATTGTTAATTGCAAATAATCAGAAGCCCATGCTAGCATTACTCAGGGTATTCTCATTGGTCCTACCCACTTTCTGCTCTATATTAAGGATCTGCCTGAGGATATACTCTGGTTATTAGTGAATATCAATGCAGATAATACAACAGTTTATAGTAGCACCTCCTAAAAATTTGTTACTCAGAATCTGGAAGCCGATTACTACCCTACCGAGATCTGATGGATCGGTATGTCTAAAGCCAAACTCAGGATCTGTTTGGTAATGGTGGAATGTTACTAGTTTGGATTTGGAGCCCTCAGATTTCAGTCAGGGTATTAATCAGTTTCCAGATGCTGAGTATTCAATTTTTTAGGAGGTTTTCCTATAAACTGTTGTATCATCTGCATAGATATGCCAACTTACTTGTTACTTATTTTCTCTAATAACAGTATCCACCTGAACTTTTCTTTTAATTTCATGCAGTGTCACTGATAGATCACAAATGGTATTGCAGAGAACATTCATAATTTCATTCTCAGCTCTTAGCAATTACATAATTTAAGTATGAGTCTCAACAAACTCTATGTGTGACTTAGCTTTTTTGATAGCATGAATGCCATTTTAAAATTGTAATACAACAGATCTATTCCCCATCACTATAGTCAATTTGTTGTATATGTTGGGATTCCCATTTTTAACCTGAAAATAGATATCAATGGAGAGTGGTCAATCTGTAGGGTGAACCTTCTACCATGGATGAATTTGTGAAATTATTCCACAGCGAAAATTATTTCCAACATCTTTTTCTCTATCACACTATAATTCTTCTCAACTGGAAAAAAAGCGTTCTTGGTGCATGTGCTATTTCTTTTACAGAACCATCTTTGTGCTTATGCAAAATAAAGGCACGAATGTCATAGTTACTTCTGTTGCTCATCATGATTATTTCTAATTTTGGATCAAGACCATGCCTTGAATGCATATTAGGGTTCAAGCTTACCCTGAAACCCAAGTGGAATTTCATATTGCTATAGATGATGGAAAAATGTACTGTTCCTTTTTACCACTGTAGTAAATATGTGCCACCTGAAATGCACGGGCTTACAACCATATTATGTTTAAACATCAATTCTTGTTTGATCACTGATGTCAATCAATATCAAGCCTGGTCCTTCCATAGATAAGTATACTGGACTAGACAAGTCGATATAAAAATCATGCTTCATACAGTAACATGAAACATTTTTTGTGCAAGATATAAAAATTTTATTTTCCTCCCAACTTCAAGTTCTTGTGCCAGACGCAAATCTTATTTGGTAGAAACAGCAACTCTTGAAAATAGTCACAACTTAACAAACAAGACGACCACTTTGTAAAATTTTAAAAGGAACAACACATTTATTTACAACTAGCAGTAGAGACCAGCGTTGCTCGGGGATGTAACAGTAAGAGATAGATCAAGTATCAACTATCATAAAGACTGAAAAACAAAATTGACAAAGATTATTTTTTAAGGTTGATGGACATACATGTCTTAATTAGTTTTTTTTTGTTTTTTTTTACGAATTGGTCAAACTCAAACAAAAACATTGTTTTCAATCGTTATGAGTCTATCAATTGAATAGAATTTTATTATAAACAATTGTCTTGTAAATAGAATTTTTAAAGCATTCTGAATGTAAAAATAAAGAAAAAAGTGTGCAAGACAATAAGAAACACTACCTGCCAAAAAAAGTGAAGTTTTGTTGAAATCGGTTGAAAAATGTAGGAAATCTGATCCTATATATAAACAAACACACACAAACAACCTGGGTTTTATAATAAGTATAACTCGGTATGAGTTGTCCCTCTTTCATTCTCATGATGCCTCTTAATCATGTTTTCAAATTTATTTCGTGCAAAAACAATTGTGTTTTTCCTATATTTGGCCTTGTTAGAACCACCGCAAGGTAATTTTACATAGTCCTGTGAAGTTTTCTTGAAATCGGTTGAAAAATGTAGGAAATCCGATCCAATATATAAACGTACACACACACACACACACACACACACACACACACACACACACACACACACAATCTGCGTTTTAGAATAAGTAAGATTACAAATTTTGAAAAGTTCAAAACAAGGGTTGCATGCAAATTTCTTTTTGTGCACTTCTTTGGTAGCATAACACTTTCCTGGGGTAACAGAAAAAGAGATTACCCACAGAAACAAGAAAAAGAATATTTCACAATTAGTTTAAGAAATGGATTCATGTATAAAAATTATTCCCTTCAAAAATAGAGAAAAATTGGGAAAAACTTGAAGAAAGGATTTAACAGTATGACACAAGGCAGAAATTTTCCAAATGTCACCCGCCTCTGTTTTTAACCGTATGCTGAAACAGGATGTCTCAGCTTGGAGGGGTTTTGTAGTATAAAGTTTACTTGTTTGTTCTTGGGTTTTAAATCTTCAGTTGTAAGAATCTGACTTGTATTTGTCAGGTGAGATTTATGACTTTCATCTGGACTTCCTTTTGAAGTGCAGGGTGATATGCTCACTCCGTTTTTGTCAACAGCACATCCTTGTCTCCTATTGAAGATCTGCCTAAGCCCACTTCTCATCTACCTCAGCACTCTTCTTTTATTCTCTGCCCTTGTTCTCTGCTCCTGCCTCAGCTCTCTTCTTCCACTCCGAGATCGCTGATAGCAGTCCTTTTTATTGAAAAAGTGACCGGGATATTGGCTCCAGCCAAAATTTGACATTGGCCAGCAAACTAGTTTCTCATTGGCCAATATATATATATATATATATATATATATATATATAAATTCTCCAATTATTAAAAAAAAAACAAATCTGAAATATTTCAAACAATTTTGGTGGTTCACTTTTAGAATGGAGTAATATTGCCATATTTGGGCTTCCCAGTCCAAACTTTCCAGTCTTGATAGACATCAAAATCATCTCCAAGTCCCTGTGGGGTGACAAATTATTTTCCACCTTCCAACTCACAGGTGGTATGTGGTGAGCCTCTGACTTCTCTATCACTACTTCCATAGAAAGTGCTCGGACAAACTACATTCTTTGATTCTGCAAGTTCTAACCTTCACAGGAAGGACATGTCATGCCAATTACATTGTAAAAAAACAACCCACATTCCCTACGTATTCCATCAGACAGGAGTAAGTTCCACTAAAAGGGTATGAAAAATGCACAAAATTTAACACACAAATTGTCTAGCCCTTTTGAAAAATATACTTTTCTCAAAACGTCTATAAAAAAAAAACAAAAACATCCTAAACTATTATATATGGATCTTTAACATTTTTTACCAATAATAAAAATAACATTTTTATATCACTATAATAGTATTATCTTTTTTTCTAGACAATTACCCAGGACTACTTATCAAGCCATTCATGATAGTAAAAAGGATAACTGGCTCTTACCACATCATCTCCTCTTTTGAGACTTACTTCCTATAGAATTTATACTTCTTTTTCTTTTTAGGTTAAGATCCAACACTTCTGTAGGCTGTCTCTTCCTCCTTCTGGAGCTATCTGGGGTATAGGTACTTCAAAAACATCAGGCAGAACCACTATTGGCTCCTCCTCTCAGATAATCTGTCCTTTCGACTACCTTATTTGATTTCTATGTCTTTTATCCACCCATGTAAAACCTTCTATCATAGACAATAAATTTCCGATACATCACTCAACTACCCAATCTTTTCAGCATTCCTTTCCATTTTTTTACATTAGAAAGAATACTTTTTGCTGAGTATGAAGTATTTCTTGCTATCAAATTTTTTCTCGTTTTCAAGCATTTTTTTTTATTATTTAGCAGCAGTTTGTCAAACACTAATCTAATTTTCCTTGTGAACACTACCCGATACCATGTTAGGATTAGATGTCACCTTATACTGTGTTAGAATTAGATGTCACCTGATACTGTGTTAGGATTAGGGGTCACCTGATATACACATAAAAACTGCAGTAATAACATATTCTTATTTTCACCTCCATTAGTTTTTTTTAAATGCCCTATTGAATGTATCGACAAAGCATTTCATTTGCCTGTTTGATCTTGGATGGTAGTGGAGAGTTTTGATATGTTTTATCGCAAAGGTTTTACAAAATCTTTCAAACTCTTTAGCAGTGAATTGCATGGCATTGTCCGAAACAATGGTATTTGGGATACCGTATATAGCAAATAATCCATGCAAGAAATTTATTGCAATTGTAATTCTTGGTGCATGTGCTATTTCTTTTACAGAACCATCTTTGTGCTTATGCAAAATAAAGGCACGAATGTCATAGTTACTTCTATTGCTCATCATGATTATTTCTAATTTTGGATCAAAATGCAAGAGAAACAAGTTTGATGTTGTAATCTTTTTAATTTTTTCAAATGCTTTTTGAAATTCAGCTTGACTAATTTCAATAAGAGCCTTTTTTTAGTAAATTATTTAATTGTGCTCACAAAACATACACGTTCAGAATTAAAAAAAACCTCATAACAATTTGTGAAACTTAAAAATGTGTAAAGCTGTTTGTTGAGGAAGGCATATTTTTAATTGTACATGCTCTGGTTGGATCTAGTTTTCTGACGTTTTCATTGATAATTTAGCCAAAATATTTCATTTTCATCATGAAATATTCCCAGTCACTACTCACTTTAAATCCATAATTTGCTTATTTTTCTAAATACCTCATTTACTTGTTGCATATGCTGCTCTTGGTTTTCACTTTTTGTTAAAATGTCATCTAAGTCAGCGATCGCAAAGTTTAGATCACTCACCATTGAGTCCATTACTTGTTGAAAAATTCCAGGGGCTACCTTAATTCCAAAAGGTAATCTGTTAAACTTGTATAATTCCTTGTAAGTATTGACAAACAGTTTTGAACATTCTTCATCAGCATTGATGGATTTGCAAATATGCACCTGACAATTCCAAATTTAAAAAGTACTTTCCACCATTTAACTTTGCAAAAATTTCTTCTGGGTTTGGCAGTGAGTAATTGTAAGCTTACAGGCAATCATTCAGTCCCCTGGAGAAATTGGCACATAATTGAATTTTGTTATTTTTCTTTTTCACATTGCCTGTCATCAACGCTACATTTACAATAATCTTGAATTTTTATTCTTCTTGTTAACTTTACAATGTGAACTCGTGTGTCCCAATTTTCACAGTCAAAACATTTTTTTGTTCTTGAAAAGGCAGTTCCTCTTGAAATATAGTTCACTGCATCCATAACATGGATTTGGTTTTGTGAAGTATTTTGTTTTCCCATATTATTTTTGACAAGCAAAAATTATGTGAGCCATATCATTTTGCAAGTTTAGTATTCTTTGACACCCTTCAGCTACAGCTTACAAGGTCAATTTTGTGTTCTGTTCAAGCTTAGTCAACATTCCATAACAGATTTCGGCATCCCTATTTGCTATCAACCCTTGCACAAAGATCAAGCATTTAAACATGTCAGGAATTAATTCATTTAACTTGAACATTTCACATTCTCTGTTTGCTATACTAGCATAACTGGTATAATCTTCACATTCTTTTTTCACAAGATTTACACATTGCCAACGTGTATTGAACAATGAACTTTGTTCACTGAAAATTTTACTTCATAATATAAGTTTCTTCAAACAATTTTTCAGCAGGATGTAATTCACCTATTTTTCATGTTCCATGGGCCCTAACTTAACAGAGACACTTTTTCTTATCTGATCAGCTTATAAAGTCTTTTGTAAAGATTTTCTCATAGTGTCTGTAGTATGCTGTAAATGTAACCTTTTTATTTTGGTTATATTTAAATACATCAATTGCATTTACTATTGAGTCCTATGAGAAACAAGTAGACGTTTTTTGTTACCGTAAAGGTAACAAAAAACGTCTACTTGTTTCTCATAGGACTCAAAAAAACGTCTATTTGTTTCTTCACAAAACGTTCTAGCATTTTTGCTGATGTTCTTGTTGTCTCAATAATATTTCCTGGAATTGTTGTTGGTGTTGTTGTCATTGTTCTTGCTGTTGTTTTATTAATTCTAACATTATTAGATTCATGTCTCCATTTGTAATTGTTTAACTTGAAAACAAAGTATATTTCAGATGTTTTAATCTTCTGTTGTTTCCAGCATAATTTTTCTTTTTTCAACACACTGATTCTACAAGATGAATAAATATCAAAACTTTTCCCACTACTATTATAATAGATAGTGAATCATCCTTGTCACTAACTGTTATGGTGTGGGGTCTGGCAAGACACAACACTTAACTCGACACGGTCAGTCATGATAGTAGTATTCAATACTCATCTAGACAACTGATATGTCCCGGAAAGGAATATATTTGAACAAAGTAGCTAAGTGGTTTTGGCTACTATAACCAAGTAGAATACGGTAGCAATAATCGACTGGTACACATCGTGGTCACAGGTAAGAAGTGTAGATCAATGGTGTAGTCCAATGGGTGTCATTATTAACTTAGCTCTCAGACTAAGGCTCTGACTCTCCTACACATCTGTCAATATTTATGACAGACACCAGCCAATCATATTCCAGTGAAGGGGAACACAGTTGTATGCATGTTCCATTATATCAACAAGTCACTGCAATATTATTTATCATCTTCTAGACAATTACCCTGGACTACTTATCATGAATGGATCAGTCCATTCATGATAGTAAAGAGGGTAACTGGCTCTTACCACAACAAGTTTATATATAGGTGATTTTTTATCACTTTAAACATTATTTTTAGTGAATACTCATATTTGAGCAGATTCTCCATCTATTTATTAAACAGTATATTTATTTTTGTCTACCAGCCTGAATATTTGAGATATCTTATTAAACAAAGATTTCTGCTCTCCAGCAGGATTTGAACATGTTTTCCTCTGGGCAGAGGGAGCTACTGTCAGATCAGGTATGCTCTAACCAACTGAGCTACCAGCCAATGAGGCAAGGCTAAATTTGTGCCTTCAAGTGAAACTTCTTTGACCATAGATCAGTATATATTATATAGGTGATTATTGCTATATTCTCCAAATAAATTTTAAATTGTTTTGAGGTGTTGTAATCTGGTGCTGTTTTTCTGACTTTCCATGTTATTTCGGCTATTATTTTGAGATCTTTTATACATTTTGGTAGGGTTACATTATTTGTATATTTTTTGTTGCCAATTATATTTTGCTTACATAACTTCTGTCTAGGGACCTCATGTTAGTTCTATGTATTCTTTCTGTCTTTCCTTTAGATCTTACAGTAGCTTCATATATTATGTTGATTTGTACATAGTTACCATTTAGTGGGCATTTACACTTGCAGGTGTTGCTTCTGAGTGTTTGCAGTATACTAGTATTTTTACTATTTTTTTAATCATTTATATTATGTAAAAACAGACATAGTTAAAATTCTGATCAAACTCATTGACAAACACTTTCCAAAATTGAACAAACTATGCAAAATATTCAATAAAAAGACCTGAAACTTGAGCTGTTTCTGCACTGAAGACATGCTACAAATGGATTTAAGTTCAGAGCACATTTTTACTGCATATTTATTCACTTTCCTACTTTCACTTTCACTTTTCATAATTTTATAATCTGTTAAAAACCTATTATTCTACATTTTTTTTGTCTGGTTCACACATTTTACTTTTAGTTTCGCTTTCACTTTTACTTGTAACAGCTCTTTTCCAGTACTTGTGTGAAATATTATTTTACTAACTTGATTATCTTTTTCTCCCACACTTTAAACTTGTCACTTTTATTCATAGTTCTCGTCTCTATTAGATATACTTTACATTAACCTGTTTGAGTACCTCTTTATACTCTGCTGTAAGCATCATTTAGACATAAACCTATTTTGTTATATATGTGTATCATTAATATTTAACATATAACACATATATACAAAACCTATTTATTATATTCCAGCTGGTGAAAATTTTACTGTTTTCATCATTTGTATTTTCTGATGTGTTAATTCTTTCCTTGTTCTGAATTTTTGAATGAGTTAATTTTAAATTTAAGAACTGAATATATTTCTTACGATATCCAAACTATAAAATAACCATTGTAATTCCACTATTTTATTGTTAAGTCTTTTAGCTTAAGAACTTAAAAAAATATATCGGAAACAATTACTTTTATTATCATGTATTCTAGTGTTGTTAATTCTCTCTTTGTATTCTGACTATCACCAAAATTACATTTCATTCATGAAGTATAATTATCCATAAAACTTGAATATTATTGAGAATATACATCAGCTATATAGAAAAAATTGTAAGACATGAAAATGATATGTTGGCTGGCCACTCATATTTGAGCATGCCTGTCTACTAGGGTGGCTAGCCAATCCCTGTTGCAGACATCTGCTTATGCACATTTGCATTTGTTCAACACTCACAGAGACCACCTGTAGTTTATACTACAACTATGCCAAGCAGAACTTAGTTTCTGAGAAAGCACACAATATCTGGCATTATCAACAGTCTTAACAAGGCCAGTATGTTCAAACCATCAGTCATGATGACTTGCAACTTCCTGCTGTCACAACCATTGATGTGTTCAAAATAGTACTGTGGTATATATATATATATATATATATATATATATATATATAGAGATAGATAGATAGATAGATAAACCAAAAGATTTGGGCATAACCTGCATTTTTTAAAAACCTTCAAATGAAATATTTTTGTATTTTTTAAAGTAAAAGATAAAATTTCGGTAACTACAATTTACTTACTTTTACTCTGACAAAAACAAGCACAATGAAAAAATATCATACAACAGTATTATATTTTGGTTTTGTCAACAAAACCACCACCTGTCTTAATTACTGCTTAACAACTTTTAGCATTCTTTCCATAAGTTTTTGAATAGAAAAGTAGATGTCAGACTTTTCCAAACATTCTGTTATATACTGTACCTATGAACACTAAAGGGTATTTCCTAATCCTTACAAATACTTTGGACGCTACTGTAAATTGAAAATGCATTGAAAATGAATCTTACTATGAAAATGCATTGGAAATGTTTCTTTCTATAAAAAAAATGCATTGGAAATGATTCTTACTATGAAAATGCATTGGAAATGATTTTTACTATGAAAATGCCTTAGAAATGATTTTTTCTATGAAAATGCATTGGAAATGATTCTTACAATGAAAATACATTGGAAATGTTTCTTTCTATAAAAATGCATTGGAAATGTTTTTTACTTTGAAAATGTATTGCATATGATTCTTACTATGAAAATGCATTGGAAATGATTTTTACTATGAAAATGCATTGAAAATGATTTTTACTATGAAAATGTATTGCAAATGTATCTTACTATGAAAATACATTGAAAATGATTCTTACTATGAAAATACATTGAAAATGACTTTTACTATGAAAAGGCATTGGAAATGATTCTTACTATGAAAATGCATTGAAAATGATTTTTATTATGAAAATACATTGGAAATGTTTTTTTTACCTTGATGATGCATTGGAGATGATTCTTACTAAGAATATGCATTGGAAATGATTTTACTATGAAAATACATTGCAAATGAATTTTAGTATTGTTATATACTGTATCTATGAACACTAGTGGGTATGTCCAAATCCTCATAAATACCTTGGACATTATCATAAGTGGGGATAATATGCTGTGCTCTAGTATGCCACTAGCAGTGGTTTACCTTACTCGTGCTGCTGGCAAGTATTATATTTTATTGATGTTATAAAGATTACCATTTTATTTCCAACCTCCATTTTGATTATTTCTAATTTAGTAAGCCTTTCTAGGTTACAACACATTCTTCAAGCACTGAAAAGCTCACTCTCACTATTTGTGTATTCTCTCCAAACTTTCCTATCCAATTCATCCCATATTAATTCAATGAAAGAGAAGTCAGGATATAATTGAGTCAGAAAATAATTGAGTTCAACTGTCGACCCAGGAGCAGTTTTCCTTCCATTTCTTTTGCTCTCAATCATCAAGTGTTTATTTTCAGCAGCAGTTGTCACTTTTGGTGTTCTAGATCTTTGTCTCTCAACATTTGTGCCAGTTTTCAACTATCATTGTAACGAATATTGCACCCGATGTCTAGAAAGCTTCAATTTCATGGCAATTTTTCTTTGAGACAAGCCTTCTTTGAATAAAATTTCAATATGTGCCCTCAATCTCAATGTTGTTGATTCGATTTTGCCATTTTGTGCAAATTACTTCAAAATTTAAAAAATAACTATGAAAAAAATTTGTAATTGCACAATCTTTTTTTCTTAAAAATATATATATATAATATATATATATATATATATATATATATATATATATAAAGCTCTTTCAGTAAAATGAATATGAGCCCTCAAGTTGACTGGCATTTGCTTACATTTGTAAAGACAATATGCTAACTAGAATTAGCAGTTTCTCTTTGCCATGCACTGATGGCTTAGGGGGTAGAAATTCCAACTGACACCAAATTAGTTGGGTTTTGATCCTGGCTTGAGGCTTTCAGACTAGTTGCACTGAGGAGCTGTAATACAGTGAAACAGTACTATCTGCAAATGACATATATATATATATATATATGTGTGTGTGATAGAAATTATTAGGAGGATTTGATAATTATAATTAAGTAATTCATTGCGTCTAGAAGAAACCTCAACAGAATGCAGAAAGCACTGGACAGCCGTTTTGTTCTATATTTGGGACTCATCAGCAGTGCGCATCCACTACCGAGAATTGAAACACTGACAGTTAGGTTTTCATGCAAACATCATGCCAACTGTTCCACCAGGCCTTGGTGATGAAGAGGTAGCAAATCAGACTCAATATAGCGCCGCTCGCTCACATATTCCGTGGTGGAACTCAACTGAGATTCTCTCTAACCATAGGACTGTGCCCCCAGGAACCACGACTACTATCACCAAGCCGCTCAGACTTGAGCATTAGAAGCCAGTTCAAGCAATGATATACAAGTGATAGAAATTATTAAAAGGATTTGATAATTATAATTAAGTAATTCAGCGAATCTGAAAGTTCCACCATGGAATATGTGAGTGAGTGGCGCTATATTGAGTCTGATTTGCTACCTCTTCGTCACTGAGGCCTGTTGGAACAGTTGGTATAACATTTGCATGATAACCTGACTGTCAGGGTTTCAATTCTTGGTAGTGGATGTGCACTGCTGATGAGTCCAAAATATAGGATTAAATGGCTGTCCAGTGCATTCTGTTGAGGTTTCTTTCAGACTCAATGAATTAATTACTTATATATATATAATAAAAAAGGCTTAAACACTAATATTCCATGTATGTATATTTTCCACTAATATTTTTTTTTTTTTTTTTTTTTTTTTTTTTTATATATATATATATATATATATATATATATATATAATAAAAAAAAAAGAACAGTAAGATATATAATCCGTGTTCTTATAGATATTTTTTTTTTACAAAATAGTGCTCAATGTAAATTTACAGAGACATTAAATTATAAATTAATTGATTTAAAATATATTTTTTTTGCTACACAGTTCTAACCATGTTTCAAAAATGGAAAATTAAATTTGTGGCTTTTTAGCTTCCATTTTGAAACATGGTTAGAACTGTGTAGTGGAAAAAATATTTTAAATCAATTAATTTATAATATATATATATATATATATATATATAGATAGATAGATAGATAGATAGATAGATAGATAGATATAACTAAGAAAATACCGTCATAATGACACAGTCTGTTTTTTTTTTAACAGACAAATACATGTGTTTTGTTGACAACATTAGTCAATGATGAATTAACATTTAGAACCTGTATGAACATTTATGTTAGTTGAAAATTTTGGTAATCTCAAAGAGACGACTGAGTGGTTATTTCATTCTTTGTTTGTTTCTTTCTTTCATTCTTTCCTTTTTTTTCTTTCTTTCGTTCTTTAATTCTTTTCTTTCTTTCTGTCTTTCCTTCTTTATTTCATCCTTTGTGTCTTTCTTTCATTCCTTCCTTCTTTTTCTTTCTTTCATTCTTTTTTCTTTCTTTCTTTAATTCTTTTCTTTCTTTCTGTCTTTCTTTATTTACTTATTTCATTCTGTCTCTTTCTTTCATTCCTTCCTTCTTTTTCTTTCTTTCTTTCTTTTTTCTTTCTTTCTTTTTTCTTTCTTTCTTTAATTCTTTTCTTTCTTTCTGTCTTTCCTTCTTTATTTCATTCTTTGTCTCTTTCTTTCATTCCTTCCTTCTTTTTCTTTCTTTCATTCTTTTTTCTTTCTTTCTTTTTTCTTTCTGTCTTTAATTCTTTTCTTTCTTTCTGTCTTTCCTTCTTTATTTCATTCTTTGTCTCTTTCTTTCATTCCTTCCTTCTTTTTTCTTTCTTTTCATTCTTTTTTTTTCTTTCTTTAATTTTTTCTTTCTTTCTGTCTTTCTTTCTTTATTTCATTCTTTGTGTCTTTCTTTCATTTCTTCCTTCTTTTTCTTTCTTTCATTCTTTTTTCTTTCTTTCTTTCATTCTTTATTTACTTATTTCATTCTGTGTCTCTTTCTTTCATTCCTTCCTTCTTTTTCTTTCTTTCATTCTTTTTTCTTTCTTTCTTTAATTCTTTTCTTTCTTTCTGTCTTTCTTTCTTTATTTCATTCTTTGTCTCTTTCTTTCATTCCTTCCTTCTTTTTCTTTCTTTCATTCTTTTTTCTTTCTTTCTTTAATTCTTTCTTTTTCTTTTTTAATTTTTCTGTCTTTCTGTCTTTCTTTCTTTATTTCATTCTGTGTCTCTTTCTTTCATTCCTTCCTTCTTTTTCTTTCTTTCATTCTTTTTTCTTTCTTTCTTTAATTCTTTTCTTTCTTTCTGTCTTTCTTTCTTTATTTCATTCTTTGTCTCTTTCTTTCATTCCTTCCTTCTTTTTCTTTCTTTCATTCTTTTTTTCTTTCTTTCATTCTTTGTTTCTTTCTTTTTCTGTCTTTCACTCTTTGTTTCTTTGGGTTTTTTTTCACTCTTTCTTTCTTTCATTCATTCTTTATTTCTTTTTTATTTCTTTTATTCTTTGTTTTGTTCTTTCTTTCTTCTGTGATGTCAATGAACAGTCGTCACTTTTGGGATATCAACGAATACACGTCACTTTCCTCAATGCTCATTGTAGTAGAGACTTTGTAATCGCAGATACAACTAGAGTATGCTGCTGAACAATACTGGTGTAAGACACCTTCAAATATTACTCGCACTAATAGTAGTTGCTCAATAAGACTCACTCAAATAGTAATCCGCTTAGTGATCCGAATAGAGAAATAGTATAGTGAATAGAGTAGAGAATAGTGGTCCATATGGTAATAGAGGATAGACTAGAAATGGTGATCCGAAATAGTAATAGAGGATAGAATAGAAATGCGATCATTTATACGTTAGCTACTTCCTACATATATGCATTTCCTCTAAGGTCACATGGTCTAAATTCAATAATGTGAGCGCCTGTGTTTGTTCACTGGAGATCTATGTTCAAACTCAAGTGTCGGCAGCGACAATTTATTCCTATATAACACTTCCATTCTTTCTTTCTTTTTTCTTCCTTCTTTCTTTCTTTAACAGCTTTAACAAAACATTTCAATAACAATTATATTTATGAATGTAGATCAATATTTAAAGAATAAATGTGGTTCTACAGAAGGATGCTGAGAATACTAGGGACCAGATATGTAAGCAACGACAAAGTTTTAGATAAAATGGGAACGAAAAGGACACTTACACTTAACATATGGTAGAGACAGTTGAAATTTCTGGGGCACATAATGAGGAAAGAGGGCTTGGAAAATTTAATGCCCACAGATCAGATTGAAGGCAAGAAGAAGAGAGGAAAACAATGCTAATCCTTACTTAGTGAGCTTGTGTAAATGAATGGTGGAACAAGGTTTAGGAGAGATGACAAAAAGACAAAATTTATTAAGATCCACAAAGGATGGGAAATAGTGGAGAGCTATGATCACTAACGTCCTGAAGAGACCGGTCACACAGAAGAAGAAGGAGAGAAGACAAATGAAAAGATTTTAAACTAACAAAGTTTACCATATCACAGATGGAAACTTTAAACTGTTAAGAATGGTTTTTCTTCTTCTTCAAAATGGCTATTTCTTTCTTTATTTTAGAAAAAATATTATCTTTTCTTTTGCTTTTCTTTCTTTTTCTTTTATTCTTTCTTTTTTCTTGTTGTCTTACAATGACTATTTTTTACTTTCCTTTTCTTAGAAAAATTATCATCCTTTCTTTTGCTTTGCTTTCTTTTTCTTTTTTCTTTTATTCTTTCTTTCTTTTTTATTTCTTCTCTTACAATGACTATTTTTCTTTTCTTTTTCTTAAAAAAATTATTATCCTTTCCTTTCCTTTGTTTTCTTTTTCTTTTTTCTTTTATTCTTTCTTTCTTTTTTTATTTCTTCTCTTACAATGACTATTTTTTACTTTCCTTTTCTTAGAAAAACTTTTACCCTTTCCCTTGCTTTTCTTTCTTTTTCTTTCTTTCTTTTATTCATTCATTCATTCTTTCTTTCTTTCTTTTCTTACAATAAATATTTTTACTTTCTTTATCTGAGAAAAATTATTATCCTTTCCTTTCTTTTTCTTTCAGTCTTTTTTTCTTTCTTTTTTCTTTCTTTTCTTGCAATCACTATTTTTTTATTTTCACTATCTTAGAAAAATTACTCTCCATTCCTCTCCATTCCTTTGCTTTTCTTTCTTTCTTTCTTTCTTTCTTTCTTTCTTTCTTTTTCATTCGTTTTTCTTTTTTCTTTCTTTTTGTCCAAACAACACAGTTTTTCTGTTTAGCTAACTTGCATTTTCTTTCTCCTTTTTTTCGCATCATTCATTTTAGTTTTACTTTTCATTCTCTTTGTATTGCTTTAACATTCTTTTCTTGCAGTCAAAACTGAATGGTCCATTATTTATCTGAGGTAATGGCAGCATGTCATGTAATACTAGCTTATAAATGGTTGAACAAGCAGAATTTTAATAGAATATCCATATTATCATGTATTAATGTATCATGATTTAAGTATAGATATATCTCTAGATTAATAAAACATTCATTAAAAAATACATATCTATATATCCCAAAGCTTTTAATAAAATATAATTAATTTAATAAGTTAACATCAGGTAGAGATTTATCAATTCAAGAAGTAACTTTACTGAAGTAACTTTGAATGCAAGAAATTCTAAGTAAGTTTGAAAAAATTGCTTTAAGCTTATAATTAGTGTACATTGTTTGTTAATGAACTTAATATATATATATATATATATATATATATATATATATATATATATAATTCACTCATGTTCTATAGACTCACTGATGAGTATGGGGTCACAGCTTTTAATATGTTAAGGATTGCTGCTGTGTTATCCATAGAATAGTGTTCTGATTGGTTTTAATTTATCCTGCAGCTAGTGTGCTTGCCAACCAAGGGTGAATTGACAAGTCTGCTTTACTATTTAACCCATAAATTGGAGAGAGTAGAGATGGATTCATACCTATCTCTAGAGTATTTACACAAAAGTCAATGTAACAGATGTAACTGGAATTTGAACTCAGCTCATTGAGTTCTCATTGGCATAACCTGCATATACCCGGATGAGTGGATTGATTTTGGGAGCGTCTGATGGTAGCACTAATCAGCTAAGAGAAGAACTTTGTATATGCATTAATTATATATATATATATATATATATATATATATATATATATATATATATATATTTTCATTGGTGCCCCGACTGCATGAATTTAAGTATGATACTAGGTTGACATCTCAGTCCCACCCTTTTACTGTTGAAACAGTTAAATATAATTGCCTCTTCTACCCCAGCATCATATTCTTTTGTACTTCCCAACAGTGAAACTCCCTTCCTCTTACTTGCTTCCCTGATAACTATAATCTTCAAAGATTTAAAGGTAATGTCAATCGACATCTTCTGTTTGCCTTGACCCCCATTCTTCTTCTTATCCTTCTTTTGTTCTTCTTTTTATTCCTTCTTCAACCCCACCCTATACCCAGTTTTTTCTCTTACTTACACTCTGTAGCCCTTTGTGAATTAGTGGCACTTCTGCCTTGCTTGGGGTGAAATGCTTAAAATGTTTAATGTTTATATATATATATATATATATATATATATATATATATATATATATATATATATATATGTACTGGGAAAAAATGTATAATAAAATGAAAAAAAAGTCATCAGACTAAAGAAAACAGAAAAATTTTTTTCATTTTGTCATATATTTGTCCTCACTACATATATACATGTGTATGTATGTATGTGTGTATGTATAATATATATATATATATATATATATTATATATGCTCAGTGCTTATTGGTAAGTGCTCAATATCAGTGATAAAGTTAATATATTTAGTTTGTAACCCTAGGTTTCCCGCTTATGCAATTCTTAGAACCATAAAACCCAGAGTTACAAACTCATATCCATTCTACTAAATATATATATATATATATATATATATATAAACTGTCAAAAATGTATGTGAAAAAGTCATCGGACTAAAGAAAACAGAAAACTTTTTTTTCCACTTTTGTCATACATTTGTCCCATATATATATATATATATATATATATATATATATATATACAAACAACTTTGATGAAAAAGAACTGACAAGGTCTGTTTAATTTTTTATTATATTTTTCTAATTTTCATGTAAGGAGCTGAGTATTGTGCTCGAAGTTCTGCATAAATTGTCCAAAGATCATATTATGTTATTTTTGTTCAAGCATTTTTGACTTTCAGATTCATTATCAAGAACCAATGTGGTGTTTCAGTGGTAGTTAGAATTTCTTTGTCTGCATCCTGGTATTCTTTAAGAAGCTGTACATTTGAAATGCCATAGCATGACGTCATGTGTAATGGTTAATGGAAATTAGGCCGCTGCACAAAATGAAGGCAATTTATTTATTTATTAATTTAATTTAAATTTTTATTTTGTTTTTATTTTTTATTTTTATTTTATTTTTATTATTATAATTCTGATAAAACATGTGCACACATTAATTATATCATATGTACTTCAAGATATTTTCTCCTGTGATGAATGATATTTTATTTAATGGGGACTGTTTATTTTGTATAATAATAGCTTCTAGAGTTATATGTCTTTCCTAACATTGGATGCTATAGAGTATTTTGATGTTAGTATATATAAATATATATATATATTATATATACATATATATATATATATATGTACTTAATAGAAATCTTATAAGTATAAGAAACTATACTCGCTCGGAAAACC